TCTATCGTTCCGGCAAAAAAAAAAAACAATCCGAAAATCAACAAATAATTAGAGAAATGAGGTGTCTATGCAATTAGCAATTACTATAAATATCGATCTACAGTTGTCAAGTGCAAAATAATTTGCATGGAAAAACAAGAAGGATTTTAACAATGTATGACTTTTTCATGATGAATATTTTCTGATTACCTGACAAATGTCCTACGATGTTATAACTTATTGATTAATATTAGCCTTTAGTTATAAATTTTAACAAAACAAATACAGTCCGTGCATCGCACGGGGTTACGTACTAGTTATTAAAAAACTAGATTAAAATATATAAAAAATATTTTATCATATATATACTCTATAAATAATTGCAGAATGAGTTGAGCCAAAGTGACCAAAGTGGCACGTTCTCACGCTTCGTAATCCTATATGGCAAAGAACCGTGTTTCAGAGTCAGACTTGGATATAAATTAATATTTTTTTATACAAAATAAGTAGGTTAGAATTCCATTTAATATCATTAGTATTAAATCTTAATTGATATCTCCCTTCTTTTATTCTACAATTATTTAGCATAAACTATTGTAAGTTTCCTTTTCTTACATTACCATATATTAAATTTCATTTTCTTATTTATTTCATACATCAATTATTATAAATAATTATTCTTTTTATTTTTAAAACTTTATAACTTTTTTGGTTGGTAATTTAATTTTATATATGATATATCAAATATAAAATTTTTGGCTGACATCCATATTATATATACAAATTATAAAACAACGATATATAATCTTATAAACAAAATATAAAATTATTAATCAAACTAGATTAAAATATATAAAAAATATATTTTATCTTATAAAGCAATATAAATTACTAGCTATTTTATTTAGAAAAAATAAATAAACTAAGTATGGACATACAAAAGTATAAAAAAATATTCTAAAAGTTTATGTCTCGACTTAAATAAAGACAACAAAGAAACATTATGATCGTAAAAAAAATGTAAAGAAACATTATAATTAAAATTATAAAAATAATTATTTTATCTCGTAATGTTTAAAATATTACACTCATACACATTATAATTAAATTGTTGAACATCATAAAAATTGAAGATATTTCAAGAA